ATTTTCTTTTTTGGCTACTAATTTTTTATCTAAGCCTTTTTTGGGAATTTCTGTAGATAATGCGAGATTTATTTGTGGAATCATTTTTAATGTTGAAGTAGATAATCGATTTTGAAATTTTGTTTTTGCTATACCCATACGTGAAAATAGTCACTCTACTTCAGCAGAATGAGGACGAATAGCAAATATTTTTAATGCTAATATTTTTAATTCTCCAGCTTGATGAGAAACCTTTTTCCAATAAGCTCATGGTTCTAAAGTTGTTAAGTTAAAAGGTGGTTCATTATTATAATAGTCTAATAATAATTTTTGTGAAATTTGCTTTGCTTGATCATGTGTAAAATTCTATATTTGTGCGAATGTTAATGTATAAACTACCATATTATTAAAGGTTAGTTTTTTTGATACTGCAATTTTGCGAAATTTTGAATTTAAAAAAAAATGCTAAATAATATATAGGTTCATCAAATTCTTTTGCCTGAAAATTAACTACATCTTTTGCATGATCGACCAATCTATAATCAAAGTCTTCAAATTCACTTTATTTTAATTTTTTATAAATAAGCAATAATTCTGTAAATATATCACCTAAAGTTATATTATTAGATTCAAGTTTTGTAATCGCATCAACTACATATCGAAGAATGAGAGTAAATTGTTCATTTTCAAGAAAATGTTGACGACTTATAATTATTTCTTTAATTTTAGTTGGAATAGAAGGACATTCCTGAGAAAAGTTAATACTATATTCAAGACAATTTTGAAAACCTCCTTCATGATTTTGAACTAAGAGACAAATTTTCAAAAGTGAATACCATCGAGTTTCACAAAAAGTTTGTAGTCCACTCTTGATATTATTTTCTAAAGCCCATTGTTTTAATTTTGTATTCCAAAAATGTGAATTAGTAAAAAAATTTACTAATGCTAAATTTTTTTTAATTGTGTTTTGATATCGTTGGTAAGATGAAATTCCCTTCGCAATTAAATTAAAAACGTGCAAACAACATTTAATACCAATTACATGCCGATATTTGTCTGAAACATTTTTTTGAAGCCGTATCATAACTGAAGGACTATCTGAAACTATAGGATAATTTTATCAAAACTTATAGAGACATTTTTTAATGAGTTTTCTACTGCAATAAGTAAATTATCAGCTATATGTCGGATACTAGAAAAATCTTCTATATTAATAATTTCATTAGTATCTCCAAATTTATGCAAAAGAAAAGCATATATAGAGTTA